GTTGGTACCAGCCCATCCAGAACCACCACATCTGGGGAAAGAAGACGCATCAGTCTTAAACAAACGAGCACAGCAAACCGACAGAGAGAGACTCACTGTCCGAAGAGAGCAGCACAGGTTCCAGGGTTACCAGTGCTCGTGGGGGGAGGAGTGCTAGTCGTTGGGCTAGATCCACCGGTGCCACTGCCACTCCAGACGGCGGGTCCAGACCAAGGAACCGTCTTGTACCCATTGTAGACGCTGAAGTTGGCGTAGGAGTCGGACGATTTGTAGGTGCCAGGGAAGCGAGTCATGGGGCCTGGGGCGCCGGTCCCACCGCCGGTGACCTTGACCTGCACGCAAGACATGTAGTGCTCGGGCTGGTTAACGTGGGAGCGGTGAATACCTGCACAAGATATCAGACGACTGACATTTTTGGCACTAAAAACCAGCTAGGAAGGACTTACCGACGTGCTCGAAGCGGACAAGGTACTCGCCGTTGGGGGTGTTTTTGGGGATAGTGGCGGCGACCCAGTTGCGGCCCCAAGTGCACCAGGCATCTCTGGAAAAGTCGGCACCTTGCTTGCATACGCCTTCCTGGAAAATCTTGAACCAATCACCCGAACCATCGTACGCCTTGACATTGTCTCCCGGAGCGCGAGACATGTAGACGTAGGAAGGGCCTGGAATTGAACATCATGAGCTGCTCTGTGTCGTGACATGACTGGTGTAAAGCTTACCTGGGTGCTCCATCGTCGCTCCTACACCGAGCTTGACACGAAGCTCTGAGCCGGCTGTAACGGACAGAACCTGTGTACGGCCAGCGTTGTTGAAAGCACCCTGGTTGCAACGAGCGTCGGTACCGACGTCGATGAAGGCATTGTCGCGAATGTCGACGGAAGGGTTGGACGAAAGCTTTGTCGGGTTGTACCTGGTGACACGCGTGAAGTCGCGAATGTACTGGAAGCTGGAGCTGGTCTGTCCATTGTAGATGACGACGTCGAAGAAGTAATGTGCGGTGGCGCCTTGGACGACCAATGCGAGGGAAACGAGAAGGCCAGAGAGTTTCATGACGGGGATTGTTCAAAATCTGGAGGTGCTGCCGATACGTTCATACCTCATATTGTTGAGGTATTTATACCTCTACAGTTTTCTCAGGATTTCCACTTGGTATGGGACGAACCTTTGCATTTGAGATGCTCTACAGACGGATAAGGCAGTCTGCGGCTCAGCTCAGGCATGGCGGCCTCAGGGGATATCTTCGGGTGTCATGTTAGACTAGGGACTCTTGAGTGGAGTGCCGCAACTCTCGTCGCCACTGGTGCTATGCACTCTTGAGATTTTGGTTCGAGATTCCCGGGTTGGGAAAAGTAGGAAAACTTGCCTTGATTGACACCTGCCGGTGGGGACTGATCAAAGTGAGTCTTGGCAGAGGACACGAGTCTCATACCAAATTGGCCACATGAAGATCGTCGCTGATGGTTGGGGAGGGACACACAGAACATGAAGATATCTCATTAACTCTAACACACCGACCGAGTGGCAACGGCTTCTTTCCAAGTATACCGTGCGGTCCGTGAGCCGCGACCAAGGAAGAACTGGCCGTGGGGAGTCGAATTTAGTTGCCTGGCAAAAACGCCGCGTATTCACATCGCGGGACTGGCGCATGTTGAAATAGGGGTGTGCCGGAGGTATGTCTAAACTACGACGGGTGAACATGACGCCACGCCGGATATCTCTCAGGGGATTTTGAAGTATGCGCTTACCGTTAATGTCAGGCCTACTTAGTACCAAGTTAACATCATCCTGGGTCTGGGCCAAAATAACCGCTACCCGTGGCGGACTTGTCTGGAAAAACCTCGTTGGTTCATATGCATTCCGTCGTATACCCATGAGATCCGACGGCCTCGACGCTGGTGAACTTCGGAAATTGAGATAGTCCGAGAGTCTGAGTCGACTGGAGCCCCTATTCTCCGCCTCAACTTCATCGACTTGCTCAACCAATCTAGTCGAGCGTCCTTGCTGCCTATATTCATCCAGTGTCCACTCAAATCTTCATTGAACTATATAAGCACTACAGCAAGTCTCAAGTAGAGCCTATTAGGAATACCGCGCCCACACCAGGATCAAGGCAAAAGCGCGTTGTTCTCAACGTTAGTGCTGTTGGGAACGAAGCATGCTGTTCCCACCTTGTTCTAGGGCCTCAAGGGCGTCGAAACGGTTCTTCTCTTGGTGGACTATCACCGACGTCGGATATGCTGCCGCTTGAAGAGGGCTTGTCGTGTCAAGAGGGTGGACGTGGGCTTAGATAAAGGGGGGATCTTGAGGGTCACGAAGGTCAAGTCAGAGGCAAGGGTGTGACTGTGCCAATAGAGGTGAGGGGAAGGTAAATGAGCATGCTGCCGGGCGCTGAGTACAGGTCGTGAACGTGAACGGAGGTCCATGATCTCGTAGTCGTTTAAATTATCTAGAGGCACAACGATGATGTGGCAAAGAGACCGGGATCTTCTATTAGAGCCGCTTGAATAGTGTGTTTAATGTGCTCCTCAGACACTCTATAGAAGGATAGAGCGGATCGGCAGCGTATAGCAAGGTAGACTGGCGACAAGAAACGAAGAGAACAGCGCGTTGTGGACATATGTGCGTTCTACCAGTCCGAGCTCCTCGGACTCAGACTCGAACTCGGACCCTCGGACTCTCGGATTATCTCGTTTCGCGAAGCTGACGCTGGTGACCGTCCAAATCCGCAGTTACCGGGTATTCTGATTTACCGCCCGGCGTAATATCGACACTTCTTCTGACTTTGACCGAGAACCTTCAAGGGAGATACACCAGTAATCATAATACAGTGGAAAACATGCATTCTAGCATTGACAACAAACAAACCTGTCCGATGACTTTTGGTGAATAAATTTTCTCAGGTCGGTATATGCACGACGCATTAAGAATTCCATAGATGCTAGGGGTAAGCTCAAGAGATTCTATGAGGTAGTGTGTCAAGATGGCACTGTCCTTCAAGTTTACCCCTCTAGGTAAGCGACTGTATGCACAGTTCCTATAGAGTTTAAACTATGCGGAGCAGTGTCCTCTATTCCGACGTGGTCACGAAGCTAACGATCATCGACAAGCTCCTCCTGTTAGAACAGCACATCGAGCTGTAGCCATAGATTCAAGTGAATCAAGCGGAAGGATAGTTCGAAAGGGCGCCGTGTGTGGGCTAAAACGCCGCACGCTTGATCAAGGCACAACTTTGAACAATGTATGGATCATGAGACCTTGATGCTCATGCAGAAAGTTGCTCAGGCTGAAGGATCAGGTTGACTCGGCTAGGGCTGTTCTCGATATTAATTGTCTTGAGGATGCTGTAGACTGAAGAAAGCGGAGGTATGCCATGAGACTGGCTGTACACTATGTTGTAGAAGGACCCAATTGGCCATAGTCTGATCGTGGAAAACACTTGTAAAGGACACTAGACATGCTCGGTGAAGAAGCGATGGTACATTGCACACTTTGAAACCGGATGCCGATTTCGGTGAGCGACGCCATTCATGTGCATCATGATCGCTGTTAGTAGCCGCTAACCGACTGGCGATGCAACGGTGCACTTCCTCGGTGCGAAGTGGATTCATTGCACCGCGCTACCGGGTCTGGCGCGCCAAAACCTTTGAGCCAAAACTTCTGAGCCGCTATCAGCTTACCATCATACTGGGTCTCGACCTGGCAAGAAAAACGCTCCTTGTGCCAAATCCGACTGCAACGATGATCACATCATCGAAATTTTGGACAAGCGACCGTAACGATTCTGCACCTTGTGACCCTCCCATGGTTTCTGGTTTCTCCGCATTAGCGAGTGGCCCATGTGGGTCTTTCGAGGACGCACTTTTCGACATGTGTGACTTTCTATTCAGCTGAATGGCACTCTTTGTGTCGATAAATGATTATCTTGCATATCCAAGCCCAGAAAATGGCAACAGTGTTAGTTTACATGAATGTGACGGCGCAGTATTCGAGTATACAGGACGATCGTCAGCCAGTCTCCTGCTTCAATCAATCTGTTAATCCCTGACTTCGCCAGAATAACCTTCACCGTTGAATATCCCGATGTTCAGCACCTTCACCGTTGAATATCCCAATGTTCAGCACCTCAAGCTTTGGGCAGAGGGTTAACCTTGGCGAAGCTAGTAGCAGTCGCCTGCGGGGACCCGCCATCTAAAACCCACTCTGAAAACTCGTCCGTACCACCGACGATCTCGATGATGTCCTGTATGACTGGCACCGGCGCCTCGTCAAACCATTCGTAGAATCCCAGAGCCGTGAAATTCGACATGGCCTCGAGAACGTTGTATAGAATGTGCTCCCGGAGAGGCCCGTCGAGCTCCTCTAAATGATCGCTGTCAGAACTGCTTTCGCTGTAGTCTAAATCGGACTCTTTGTCAGGATTGTAGTCCGAATCATCAACCTCAGAGTCGTCCTCGTAATGTATCTTGAAGAGAGCGGGACCGGCATTGTCTTTCTGAGCATCATCGCTGGCATCATCGCTAGGCTCATAGTCAGAGTTGTCGGCCTCAGACTCTCCCTCTTCAAATTCGACTTCCAGAAACCGGAGATGGGGTTCACTTCCCTCTTGTTCGTGCCCGCTATCTTCTTCTTCATCCGAGTCAGTTTCGCTCCCAGAATTGTCATTGTTGTTGTCCATCAGACTCTCTTCAAGTTGATCAAGCACCAACTCAGGATCGAAGTGGATCAACGTTGCTCTCAACCTACAGCTCAACTCCAGAACATCACATTCGCTTGTGCGCACGAAGAACAACAGCTTACACACGTCCTCTTCGCTGAGACCAGGTGTATATGGGGACGAGAGCATCAACATCTCAGGCATCTTGCTTTGACTCAAGCTAATTGATCTTTACATGTACATATGTGTACGTCAAACACCATTGTTCTCGACCAGAGAGGCTTGTGCCCGACACTTATGGGTACCATTTACATTATATATTATCTTGCCAAAGAAACATTACAACGGGTGCCTGGCGCAATGGTTAGCGCATTCGGCTTCGACCACCTTGGCGGATCAGCTCGCTGATCTACGATACCGAAAGGCTGCAAGTTCGAGTCTTGCGGTGCTCATGTCTTTTTTGGCCTTATTTCCTTTGTAGAATTTTTCCTCCGCAAGGAAGTTTTCGGCGTTCGCACATATAGCAGCGCAGCCTGTAGGGCTCCAGCTATGTTGTATCTGTATACGCACATGCCTATACAGATACAAATACGGTTGGAAACAGTATGCCTACCGTATAATACTGTATTTATACAGTTGTTTTTGAGAATTGTGTGAACAGCTATTTCTAGTGTCTAGGGGTCCTGGGAGAACTGGCTATAATCATTTACTCAGCTGTGGTTAATGTCCAATACACCAAGAAGTGTTGACATGACATGCTTGATGTTCCGTAGCCACCTACATCTACCATAATTTGTGTGTCAAACGATTCAACTACTAGCACAGAAAATTGACGCAAAGAGCAAGCAGAGTGTATGCCAATAGGAATTGCACACTGATCTATTGCGAATGATGTATCCAGATGTACCGCTAAATTTGGTGAAGAGCGGTGGTGCCATGAAGCTTGCAACGCGTTCTTTGCTTTTATGAATTGTATTTTAGTTCATTTTCAGGAAACGTACTCCCCGAGATCGACGTGGATGAAAAGTAGGGACAAGCTGGCAGCCAACGTTGTCCAAGACGCGTCGTGGCGTGAGAACACATTACACAAGTTGGGAGGGGGACGTACAACTGGGCGCGTTTGGTGACAGACTACTCAAATCTAGGCAGTGCACTGGTGCCCACCGTTCAGGCCGTGATCTACCAGGGCAAACTACATTAACATACAGAAAGTTTGGGCACCCTTAAATCCCCATACAGACACACAAGACGTGAACGCCCTCAAATCCACGATACAGAAAAATTGGACGCCCTCAAATCAGAGACCGGTGTGATAAGAAACATATGACACACTCTAACCTTGGTATATGCGCTCTCACATGTACAGACGGCAAATCAAATAACGGCTACACAGAGAACGTACAAGAATAAAAAATATTTGTGTGCAGGCGTATATTTCTTACCCAGAACCCACGTCCCAAGAACCCAACGTAACTAGTAAGCGAAAGGGCATAGCGCCCAATACTGCACGCCCAGACGCCTGAGAATGACGCCCGAGAATAGATTTGGATTTGGGTTTGGATTTCGAGGGAACACAGAAAACTTGGGTACGGATACGGTGGGGGTAAGAGGCGGTGAAGAAGCAGCCTTTGGTAATAAGGTAAGTTACGAGAGGGCTAAGTGATGGGCCTGGGTGCACGTACTGGGGGCACCGAAGCACGCTGAAGGTAGCTTTGTACTACGGTCGAGATCGCTTTAATGTCTGTAGGAAGGTTGAAGGGTTGTCTAGGAGCAAGCAATGGTGAGAGGAGGTGAAATGATGAAAGGCAAAGAGGGTACTCACAGACGGGTCAACGCAGTTAAGCGATTGAGGCAACATCCGTGACTATGTCTGTTGTTCAAAGAAGCCCCTGAGAATTACGGGCGATGGGCGAGATGCGTATCGAGGAATCATCGACAAGTTCTTGAGCGTACGACGAGCTTGATGGAGAGTGGACATGAAGTCCCCTTGGTGTGTGGGTACGAATGCGGTGGACGTTGAGCGAGAGGCGGTGAAGGAGCGACCTGTGGTAATGAGGCTAGTGAAAGAAAACCAAAAGCGCAGTGAGTTTACCAGAGTGCGCGCAGGGACACCGAAAGCAACGCCAAGATACCCTTGGGTGTACTTTGTAGGGACGCCGAAAGCGCGTTGAAGTGCCGACGACCAAGTAGGTTGGGACACCGAAGTAGGTGAGAACGTTGTGCAGGAGAGCATCTGATGAAACTATGGTGAGATGACGCGACGTGGTAAAAGGAAAGTAACGTACCATAGGGCGGACTTGAGACCATGGTATGACTCTGTGCAAAGTACAGAAAACTGAATCGCCCGAGAAATCCGTTGGTGCTGGGCCGAGATAGGGGTCGAGAGTCGCGTCGAACAGTCGTCGAGTGTTGTCGCTGATCACCTCCTATCTTATGCATGGTGTGATTGCATGTGTGTTCGTACCTAGTTTGACAAACGCCCGCTGTTCTGCTAAGGCCAAGTTGGACTGACATCGGATGGCGACGCTGGCGAGCCCTGCGCAATGACGACATGCGACTGTTTTTGGACACGTTGCAGAGGGCGACGTGGAGGGAGAGAGGACCAGAGGTGAATCTCCGTGGTCGGTGGTGAACACCCAGTGACACCTCTTGAAAACGGAGATGGGCTTCTACAGGATGGAGTCATAATGCAGGCAGAAGTACCTTGAGAAGTGGTCGTGCTGGTTGAGGAACTGTTGTCGACGATGGGAGCCAATGACTGTAGCACGAGAGGATGGTAATGAACGTTGTCGACGACGCAGACAGAACGACGCGAGTCTGTACTTTACTGAAAGCGCCCCCGAGCTGTGGGTTGAACGACTTCTCCGTGCACCCTTGGTGCTCCACAGTTCCTCACATCAATAATAGCAGACTAAGTCCCTCAATCGCGTCGAGGACCGCGTCTTAATGCTGGTGACTGTGCGGGCGAGAAGGAGAACGCGGATTTGAGGGAGGGAAGAGGGAGGGTGCGATGGAACGAGATGAGATAAATTGCAAAGTGGAGACTCGTATTCGAGAGAAGAAAGGTACTTATGCGACGTAAAGCGAGGACTAAGCACGAGTTGAAGCTTTTTCACAGAGAGAAAAGGTGAAGTACATGCAAGACGAGGAGTCAATACAGTAAACAGCCAGTTCAGCCGCATGCACAGAAGCAACCAAAGATACCGATCTGCACGAAAGGCTTTCTTCTCCGGGACGTGCTTCCAGTGAGGTCGACCGAGTCGGATACGTAGGAAGGCGGCGCCGGCGCGATATCACTGACCGGCGGTGGGTCAGCGTTTAGATCACTCCCAAAGGCCTCTTCGAGCTGCCAACGTTGTTCTGAAAAACGCGGATAATCGTGAGGCTCTGCGCCTGGATTGATGTGCGCGTCTGAATTATTCGACTGAGGGGAACAGCGGCCGAAATCAGGCGCTGCTAATCTGTGAAGTTGCCTGACGCCATATACTAGAGAAGCGTTACATCCGTGAGTTAGACGTGGCACACTCCAGGTACGGAGGGATGGCTTTACCTTGTGAGATATTTAGAACATCAACGATCCGAAACGTCCCTTCCGCGGGAAAGAGATGAGTTGTAGGATGTGCAGACCCACTTGAAGTCGCTGGCAAGTATGTGTTAGAATAAGGTAAAGATCCCTGCATGGCGACCAGCGCGAGCGCACCGTTTTTCCCATCGCGCACCGACCCGAACAAGCTGCGCAATCTGGGTCCCATCCAGCCAAGTACGCCGCGACGCGGAATAGATAACGCCTGGGAAGCATCTTGGCGCATGTCTCGATGGTGACGCAAGCAAAAGAGGTGATAACGGAGCAGCTAGGTATGGTGAAGACGTGCGAGGTTTGGGGCGGCAGTGGGATAGTGGATGACTCGGATCGATGATCGAGACAGTCTCTTATATTCGCCTGGCTCGAGGCAAGCGCATGTCTGTGTGCAAGCATGAGCAGATCAGTGTGTATGTGGTACGGCCTCAATCATGAAAGAAACGATCTGGCAAGCAATACGCTCGTCTAAATAAGAGGCCACATATCACTGAGAGCTTGGGGATTGTAAGTATTCTGGCGAGTTTTGGACGAAAGTGAAGTTGTGAAGGCTGGATCGCGTTGAGAGGGGACATGTGACCGCGACTTAGTGCTGGCATGCCTGTGGACGACCAGGAGGAGAGCTTGAGGGAGGAGGGAGGAGGGAGGAGATGTGTTGGGAGCTCGAGGAAGGTGGTATGAATGACATGCGAGGAGGACGAAGAAGAAGAAAAGAAATCGATTGAATAAATTATAATTGCGAAAACAAGTTGCGAAAAGTCCTCCTCCACCTATCCTCCATATCTAAGAGTACATCCATCTCTGAGTCCAACAGTCCATCCCCCTCTGCAACTTACGCCGTCCTCAACCTCGCCTTTGCCTTTGCCTTCTGCCTTTCCTTCAACAGTGTCGAGCCTACGAAATGACCGATGCCTGCTAGACCGACGAGGAGGATGAAAGCTGGGATACGGACGACCCATTCGCGGGGTGGGAAGATGGTGTGAAGGGAGGATGAGGCGGGGAGGAAGGGCTGTGAATTTATTACCAGTTAGCGAGTGTGTAGACAGTGAGAAAAGGTGGGTAAACGCACGAGGAAGATCGCCCAGGTGGTGTAGTATACGAATACGAAGGCGGCGACGAGGAGCATGGCGCCGCCTACGGCTTTATCGCTTGAGCCCTGTTGTACGCGTGCGTTAGTGACTGGAGTGGAAGATGCAGGGGAGGTGAGGACAGACCATGGTGATGAGTGTAGGAGGAGAGAGTTGATGCGGGGGCGTGATCGTCATCGACCTCTCCTCCCGCCTCCATCCCCGCATCCCGCATCGCCCACCCCGCACTCGGGCTAGATCTACGCTACGCAGTTCCCGCATATAATACTAGGATATCCCGGGGATGGATCACCACGCCTTCGCCGCCCTCGCGCAGGTCCGCATCCTCCTCCTCCCCGTCGGACACATCACAAAGTCCGAATTCGATACCTACGCTGCCGAAATCCGTTCTTTCGAGAACATACGACTAGGGGATATACCTGATGATCCACGGGATGAGCGAGGTGCGTCTACTCCCTTCCTTTCCCGCCTCAAGTAAAGATATCTAACGAACTTGCATGGGTTACAGCGCGATTCATGCCCCGCCCTCTCTCGGAGGGCTATCTGCACCTTTCCTTCCCGACACACCCCCCACCCCTCTCCCACTCCCCTCTTTCTCTTCTGAGGCCGTCCCACTTCCCACTCGCAGTGATCGGAATCGCAGCGTCATCTCTCTCTTCCCCGCCACATGATATCTACACACAGTTTCAGACGCAGCTGGCCCAGCTCTTTCCCCCCGCCGCCCTTTTCCCACTGGTGCGGCATTGTTTCGTGTTTGAGAATGCTGATGCGGGGGATGGGGAGGGAG